AAATAGGCTTGTGTTGATGATTTTTATCTTTTAGATAGTTTATAAGTTTGTCTTCCTATGAGAGTTTAAATTAGTGTAATAATTTAAAATGCACATGTTTGTAGATGTCAGTTTTAATGTAATCACATTAATTACACTCATTAATGTAATTTGTGTGTAAATTTTAATGTAATCATCACCATTTATAGTTCAACTACCTTAAAAATCAGAAATATAGCTAAGATCCTGGAAGTGGTAAAAAATTAATTCTGGGCAGCTAAAATAATATATCAGAGCTCTTTATGATAAAGCATTCTGAAGCCCTCATTCTGATTCTTCCTACTCCTACTTGGCACGCAGTTCTCAGCACATCAGTTTTAGAAGAACACAGCTGACAAAGAGCAGAACATTTTTTAAAAGAATAGAGAAGCCATGGCTGGCAGGAGTCCTGACACAGCCCAGGAGGGAGAGGGGACACAGAAAAACTAAAGCTTTGAGAAACCTATGTCACTGAAAACCCCTGAGCTTTTTACTATGTCATTGCTTAGTACTATGTTGGCATAGTGATGGCCCAGACTCACCAAGACAATATTGTTTTATTTAGATTTTTTGAAGTGTAAGAAAGGCTTTAATAAAAATTTAAAGATTTCATCCCACACAGCTGAAAATGATGGTGGGAAGAAAAAATGTGGTGACAAAAGGATGAACTTTAGATATGCACACTTAGTTATTTATCCAAAATAACTGATTTTCTTACCATTTTTTGTTTTGTTTTGTTTTGTTGTTTGGTTTGGTTTTTTGAGAAAAGGTCTCTCACTTTGTAGGCTGGTCCTGAACTCACTATGTAGCCCAGGCTGGCCTTGAATTTGTGGCGATCCTCCGGCTTCAGCCTTCCAAGTACTGGGATTACAGGCATGAACCACTATGCCTAGCTTTTCTTAACATTTTAAGGGAGAATGTTTTACTAATAATTTTCCTGTTGCTGACACTGACATTACATGACTTCTTATAAAAATCCAAGAGAGAAGAGAGTCAGAATCATGATGTCAGAAAATGGCAAAGTCTCTACCTCTCAAAGCTGGACTCCATCCAGGAAAAGAGGAGCAACATACCAGGCTAAGGTAGAGCTTTGAGTAAAACCAGAAGGCCTGTGAAATGGCATTTCGCTTATGTGTACCATTGGTTGGCATTTACAAAATCTTAATTGAATCTGAATCTGAAATTCTCATGTGGGTTGCCGTAGTCAGCATGCACTTCAGAATCAGAAGAGTCTAGTTCCATCATGGGTCTTCATCCTTGGACAACCTACATGACCTGCCCACCTTTGTCAGAGGGCAGATGTAAGGGTTCTGAGTGGGCAGATGTAAGGGTTCTGAGTGTGCAGAGCACTTTCCACAGTGCTACAAACATGACCGATACTCAGGAATGGTTGTTCTTTTCCTGTTGAGAGGGATGGTCACATCTTATGACTTTTCTGTTGTGCACAGTTAAGGAGAGCTTTTGGGGACTACAGAACCCTCTCTTCCTTAAGTACAGGGCCTATGCCTCTTACCTTGCCTCTTATTAGCCCACCTGGAGCCCAGTAGAGAAGTGGAGCAGGGTATGAGGGGCAGGGGTTAAGGACAGCGCAGGGGAGTGTCTGGTCCTTCACGCTTCACAGCCGGGATCCCTTAAGCACCTGGCCTCTAGTCCCACCCAGCAAGTTCTTTCCTTTTGCAGGCTAGCTCCCCTGGTACTGCCCAGCCCTCATGGGCTTGTTCAAGCAAGAGCAGACCATCTGTGGGTGGTGGTGATGCTCTGCTTTGGTTTGCTTACCTAGTCAACCTGCAAAATCATTTGGAGAGGGACACTGTCAGCAAGTGGGAGAATAAAAACAAGACTGGCAAAAATGTGTAGCTTACCCAATTACTGTGAGTTTTGTCAACATATTAAGTACAAACCTAGATTAAGGCGGGCAGATTTTGCTTGGTTTTGTTCTGTTTTTCTTGAGAACTAAAAACAGTAATTTACGGGTCTACTTGCCCAGTTTGATAAGCACCCCAGTGACCACCCCTAATTATGAAAGCTCTCTTGGCACCTGTCCTTAGAGCCATGCAAGAGGGTCTGACAGGCATATGAATTAGAAGCCCCGTGGTTACCTATACTCCAGGAGGGTAACCCTGGCTGGGGTGTCTGAGAACACAGTGTAATCCAACATTGGAAAACATCTGAGAGAAGAAGGGCTCTGAACTGGTTTCAGAGTTGTAACTGTGGACACAAGTAGAAGGGACCCTTCCTTTTTTTTTTTTTTTTTTTTTTTTGATACCAGGGATCAAACTCAGGTCCTTGGCTTGCAAGGCAGGCGCCAGAACCACTGAGCTAAATCCCCGGCCCAGGACCCTTCCTTTTTTAGGGCATTTACTGCCATTGTAATTTGAAGATCTGTTGTTTGAACAGTTGCAGAGATCTTTCTCCTGCAAGATTAGAAGCACCTTGGAAGCAGAGCTGTTGTGTTTTGCACGTGTCCTTTGCTGCACTCCCACCCCAGGCCTAGCACATGTAATGATAGCTGCTGAGTGTGTGTAATTCCAAGTCCTGCCTCTACTCCTGCTTCATGGCTACCCTTTTACAGCCACTTAACTTCTCTGTGTTTCCTCATTGAAGGAACACAAGTTAAATGGTTCTTCTGTTTGTGCGTCTGTCTGCCTCTCACAGTGTGTACCTATAACTCATAGTTTATATGATTTCAGCCACATGTGATGATGTATGATCAAAACATACAATAAATGGTTAAAACTTTTTAGACATTATTAGTAAAAGTCACATTTCCATTCATATCCCTCAAAATCCTCCCCCTTACTTTGAACACACTTATCCCATCATTCTTGCCACTTTCTGAAGCAGTTCTAGAAGTCCTCTTTCATGACTGTCTTTAGTTACCCTGTTGTGGTTGCCCTGATGTCATGAATTGATTTACAGTTTGACTTAATTCATAGTCATTTGAACTTTGGGAAAGAGCCAGAAGTTTCATGGTGCCAGATCTGGTGAATAAGGTGGATCAGGACACACTAATATATTTACAAGCCTGTCTTTCTGTTAGATGGCACTTGTAGCAGCATTCACTGTATTTTTTATGTCACCTCGTAAAGACACTCACATAAGACTTCCAGAACTACCTCAGAAAGTGGCAAGAATAATAGGATAAATGTGTTCAAAGCAAAAGGAGTATTTTGAGGTTGATTAATGACAATGTGTCTTTTACTGTTGTAATTTTTTATTTAAATTACACACCATATTTTGTGATCAACCCTTGTATAATAATACCTAGAACTGTGATCTGGGGGTGGCTAAGCTAGTCACAGTCTATAATACAACCATCATTTCCAGAGTCTGGGTACTATATTTCCATTAACTGATTATTATTTCAGACTTAAGTGCAATAATGTGTACCCTGATTTCTTTTTTTAATGGGTTAAATTTTATTTCTAAAATTGTCCATCATTCTATTTTTTATCATTAATTAAATTTATTGGTACAATTTAGTTATACATAATGATCACATTCATCATATGGAATTTGTACCTGTACATGATATCTCCTGATTCATATTTTTTCCCATTTCTTTTCCCTCCCTTCTACCCCTCCTCCCCTTCTTACTTACATCCAAGAGCTTTGTTTCCATTTTATCTTTCTTTTCTCATTTTTTTTTCTTTTCCCTTCCTTCCTTTCTCTTTCTCCCCTCCCTTGTGCCCCTTCCCATTTACACATTTTTTTCTTATTTCACAATATCTATTACACATTTTGGTCCTTATTTACACTTTCGGTTTCTCACACCAGAGAAATAATGCAGTATTTACACGTGTGTCCAATTTATTTCACTTAAGAGTATGGTTTCTAGGTGTATCCATTTAGCTTAAAATGTCACGAGTTTATCTTTCATTTATGGCTGACTAGTACTCTGTTGTATAACAAAAAAAACACATCACCTCTATCCATTCATCAGTTGATGGGCATTTGTGTTGTTTCCAAGATTTAGCTATTAAAAAAACAAAAGAGGTTTAGCTGTTACAAACTGCTGCTATGAGCATGGGTGTGTGTGTGTGTGTGTGTGTGTGTGTGTGTGTGTGTTCGCACTTTGGTAAGATGCTTTTAATTCTTTCAGGAAGATACCAAGAAGGGGTTAGCTGGGTCAAATGGAACCTCTGGTCCTAGTTCACTGATCTCCACCCTGCTTTCTTGACAAAGATTTTGTAAGGACCAAGCAAAATGATGTATTTGAAATTGCTTCAGAAACTATCAAGTTTTGTGTAGCTGAACCGTGATCATTATTGCTGGTTCAAAGATGTCTTTGAGTAACTCAGCCTCAAAAGAAGGTGCTGAATACTAAGTCTTGTAAACTGTGTATGGCTAGCCTTATAAAGGAGAGGGCATTTCTCAAGTTAATTTTTCATTTAAAAGAAAAAAATCCCCTTGATGCTTCTCTGCTGGGTCTCTAATGGCAGGATGATTGCCAGTTGAGTGTTGGAAAGGCTGTTGACCTCAAGTGATGGGTCATGGGCTTCAGTTTAATCTTGTCACAGCCATCCTAAATTATTATAGGCAAGCCATTTAACTTATCCGCCAAAGGAAGATGACTGCTTTATGAAGATAAAAGTATGGAATATTAAAAATAAGAGAAAATGTTGGTAGCCCTCAGATGCCTGTGGAATTGATTGCACCCTTCTTGTGCTTTTCTTTCCAGAGCCAGACCTCTGGTTCATGCATCTCTTCTTACCCGCCATGGTTTCTGATCCCCATTCTACCTCTTAAATATATATTGAATATACTGCATTCTTTTTGAAGGAAGCTTCCAGAGTTGAACCTAGCATGCTTCATGTCATTTCTGATATTCAGACACTATGTTAAATACTGCCTAAGATTGATTATTATCTAGTTTTATCATCTCACATATAAAATACGCTGTTTCCTATCTCTTGACCCAGAAGGCTTAAGCTAAGTTCTGAAACAGAAAGTAACTTCTCGTTTTTTGTTTTGTCTTCTAGTGATAGACATCACACTTCCAGTGCAATCCCTGTTCCAAAGAGACAAAGCTCCATGTTTGGGGGTGCAGATGTAGGCTTCCCTGGGGGGATCCCATCGCCAGACAAAGGACATCGAAAACGAGCCAGCTCAGAGAATGAGAGACTCCAGTACAAAACCCCTCCTCCCAGTTACGACTCCACATTAGTGCAGCCAGTGACCACCATCCCTTCTGTGGGAGAATCCGAAAGAAAGACAGCATTTCTGTCCTCCTCCTTGGACACCTCCTTGGACTTCTCCAAAGAAAACCAGAAAAAAGAAGTGGATTTCGATGATAGCTTGAACAGCAGCCATGTGAGTGTAAACACTAGCCGAGAACCAGGAGAAGCCCTCTCTGTGCACCCGGCCACAGTCAATGGCACTCTGCTGCCCGGTGAGCAGGCTGGCTCTGCCAGTGTCCAGCTCCCAGGTGAGTTACACCCAGCCTCAGGAGCGGAGCTCTGCTGTACCGTGGAGCAAGCAGAAGAAATCATCGGGCTGGAAGCCACAGGCTTCACCACAGGTGACCAGCTAGAAGCATTTAACTGCATTCCAGTGGACAGTGCCGTAGCAGTGGAATGTGACGAACAAGTGCTGGGAGAATTTGAAGAGTTCTCCCGGAGGATATATGCACTGAATGAAAATGTGTCCAGCTTCCGCCGACCACGCAGGAGTTCTGATAAGTGAAGGGAGCAGGCAGATCGGAAGACCAGGGCAGGATCACTGCCCAAAAGGAGAATAAAGCTGCACTTACTCTTTTTAATAATTATGACACAACATGAATATTAATGGAGGATATTCCTCAGAAAAACAGACTTTGGGACTAGAGGAGGGACTCAGGATCATTGTGATTCCGTGGGCCAGACAAAGATTGTGCTTTCAGGGTTTGCTTTTCAGGCCTGATCATTGTTTTAAGGCAAAAGTCACTCTCTAGTTGAAAGAGCTTATAGCTCAAGTCACCTTATAGGCATTTGTCTGCTTTTCATTTACACTTATACGTTATACTCAGAGGGAAAATGATAATATATAAATAATATAATGAACTCACCTTTAGTTTCTCATAAGCATTTGCCTTCATCATAGTTTATAAAACTTTGAGAAAATGGAATATTCAGGAATAGCTTTCCACCGTTTACTGAAGGACGGTCTGTGGCCATCTATAAGGTTGATGAACAGACCATCATCCTTTCCTTATCCCCAGTCCCTGTGCCCCTGCCCTGGCACCCAGGGACTGCAGTGAATGAACCTGTAGCCCTCACTGTCTCCCATGTTCACAGTGGATGGGCCATGCATCCTGAAGACCAAGGACATCACATTCACTGGCCTAAAACCTTAGTCATGATGTTCCAGCTCTTCTGATCAGCTGTGACCTTTCACCTCTTCTGCCATACCCTTGATGTGGCCCTCAGAGTAGATGAAAACTTGCCTGTAGTGGATCCAGGAAACCCTCAAGGACCTGAGGTTCCTGCAGTCAGATGACATCCAGTTCCCTTTGAGAGCCAAAGTTTTTATCTGGGTAGGTGCTTTGGTCAAAAACTAGGCATGCTTCTGGCAGTACACTCACCAGACAAAAATTCCTACATATAAATCCCATATTAATTTATTAAATTGCAGTCAAAGGAAGGCATTGAATATGACAATGTATAGAGTCAGGCAGTCCAATGTGCAAACTGCAAAGCAGTTGAGACAGTTGGTTTAAGAGACTAGATGAGGCATTGAATATTATTTGTATGTGTGCAATTTCATAAATATTAAATTATGTTTTTGAAGTCCCGTTATTCCTACAGATTTCATTTGCTATTGCTTTATATGTGATGTACCCAAGGACGTTGCCTCAGGGTTGCAAGCTCTTTAAGGAAAATTTATCCATATATCCATGTATTGTATAGAAGAATAAAAATTGAATTCACTTCACCCGACCTGATTTTTTTACCCCCAGCTTTGAAATTCCTCTTGAACCTATGTCTCATGATACGTTACGATGGGGCTAGCCTGAACAAAAGCCCTGGCTGTTTACATATTGCATATAGCAACACACATCCTTCACAGGTGGACTCCCCAGTAGCTGCTTTTGTCCTGCATGGTGGCTTAACTCATAGATCTCATGATCATTTTAATATTATGACCAAGGAACCATTCCTCAATGCAGTTTTAACTGATAGCTACAAATGTTAAATAGACTAGTTCATGTTGTTATTTTCCATATAAAGAACGCACAGCAGCAGACCCAACTCTGATGCATTTGTAAACTTTACATTGATCTGAGGAAATCAGTCTTATCCCACACGGAGAAGTGGGGCTACCTCAGACCTTGAGCAGAGGCCATCTGGAGCAGGATCTTCTTTGTAGTGTACTGTTATTCATTGTAGAGTCAGAGGTTGGGGAGAGATGTCATCTTGGATATACATTACTGTGGGTTCCTCCAGTAAAGTACCATCTACAAAATAAAAGGGTATTTGAAAGTCAATGTTAGTATTAAAGCATGAAAATCAAATCTCATGAGTTTAGTGTTTTCCCCAGATATGGGGAGCTAAGCTCAATCAAGGTGCTTGATTGGTGCCTCTGACGCCATGAAGCTGAAAGACTATGTACAGGTTCCACACAACCACACAGCCTGGGGCCCTGGGACTCCTTCCATCAGTCTCTGCTCTGTAGACTCCCTGAGTCTGAACTTTGTGGCTTTTTACTTCCACAATATGGAGCCTGCCTTGGAAATGATCAAATTGCTCAGTAGCTGATACACTTCCATTTGACCCCCAATGTCCAGTGATGTGTGCACCAAAACACCCCTGAAACTTGGGTTTATTTAGTTGGATTTGGGGGTTTTTGTTTGAGTTTATTCAGTGTCTGCAGGTTCTCCCATGACCTAGGTAAAACCTACAGTATTGCTGTTTAGCAGTTGTTCAGCATTTTCCAAACCTTCAGAATTAATTTTGCCTCTATTTAAAGTTGCCAAGGCCAAAATACAGGATGATGTGTCTTCTATTAATATTTTTGATTAGTCTTATAATTCACTTTTTTTAAATATGGAATTGATTTGGAAGATACAAGTTGAAATGGAAATTTGTTACTACCCATTTTGGAGCTGCTAAGAGCCCTTTCAGTTTTCAATAGCTGAAACACTGAACAGCCAGGAAATGTTATCAAGTGAATATTTGATTGTTTTCTCTCTCCACTTCCCCTCAACGACTTCAGAAATTCCAGAGATTTTTTTTTTCCCCTCAGAATATTAGTTTTGGAAGATTGTACCCAGCTATATTTTTTTAGCAGTTCTAATGGTGCCCATTTATCCTGACCTAACTGGTTATTCAAATAATTTTTTTAACCACTACGAATAATAAATGGCATGTGAAATTGATCTGTTGGTAATTGGAAGAAAACTTAGCATCTGTATTTATAAAATAAAACTGATTAGTATTTATTTTGAGAGTTAAAAGTGTATGTTATTTCCCTGCTGTGTTGGAGTCCTGTCTTCATTGTTTTGAATTTCATGTTGAAGCTAGGTTAACTATGAAAATCTTGTTCTTAAACACTCAGCCTTGCCATTCAGTATTTATTAAATGCATGGTGTGTATGTGTGTGTGCATGCACACGTGTCCATGTGCGAAACTGGACTAAACAAAGTTCATACACAGATTAATAAGCCTTGACCTCTGCCCCATTCTCCAGTGGTGGACACAACCATACTAAGAAACAATTAATTGGCCCGGGGATTTAGCTCAGTGGTTCTGCCGCCTGCCTTGCAAGTGCAAGGAACCGAGTTCGATCCCAGGTACCAAAAAAAAAAAAGAAACAATTAATTATAACTCAGTGTGATATATTCTATGATGGAGATGTATAACCATGCTGTGAAATGCAAAGAAAGCTGTTAATTCTGGCTCCAGGACTGTAAAAGATTCATAGGAGTTACATGAATGAAAGATATGTAAGATCTGGCATTACAGACGGAGGGAACAGCATGGGCAGAGGCCCAGAGGCAAGGCAGCCCCTTGAATGTGTTTGGAAAACAGCAGGGGTTTCTGTGCCTGGGGCCAAAAAGGATGTGAAGAAGGGTGAGAGGAGAAATTGAAGGGGAAGCCCATTGGGAGGACTTGGGGAGAAATCGGATAATCAGTGGGCCATTCTTGCCAGGATTTTAAAAGCAAAAGAGTAATTCAGGGAATTACAACTAGCAGCCCAATGGAGGATGAATTCTGGTGAGCCTTGCTTGAACCAGGTTAATTTTTTTTTTTTTTTTTTGGTGGTACTAGAGATTGAACTCAGGACCTTATGCTTGCAAGGCAGGCAGCAGAACCACTGAACTAAATCCCTGGCCTAATCTTTTTGTTTGGGAAACAAATCTATGTGGGAAAAAGAAGTGCATCCTCATGTGCCTGATGTTTTTGTGTATGCATGGAGCCAGGCTGGGGTTTACAGTATGGTCTGGTGCAGTGCCATCTCGTCTCTAGAAGCTGGGTTCTGAATGTCACATGGCAGCTGGTCACCTCTCTGCAGTGCTGTCACTTTGTAGTTATGACCCTAATCAAGTCATTGACTAAGAGCCCTGTCTGTGTCTTAATCTGTAAAAAATGAAAGAACCTTTCCCTTACCAATTATGTTTGTATGGGACCTACACCATCATGGATGGTCCTTCAGTGCTGGTGCCCTTTGTCCTGTGGAAGACCACTTTACAGTGATGGGAAGGACCCCAGAGACTTGTCAAGGATTCCTATTGTAGCTTGGGCACAGACCCTGAATCTCTCTGAATCTGGTTCCTAATCTGTCAAGTAAGGATAAACCCCTACCCCACAGAATTGATAGAATATTGAAAGAGATAATTCTTTTCTTTTTCTTTTTCTTTTTCATACTAAGGATCAGTCCCAGGGCCTTTGCACAGAGTTATATCCCCAACCCTTTCTATTTTTTATTTTGAAACAAAGTGTTGCTAAGTTGCACAGGCAGCCCTTGAACTTGAGATTCTCCTGCCTCCCAGAGTGCTGGCCTTACAGCCATGCACCACCATGCCAAGCATAAACTTTGGGGGGTGTTGGGGAATGAACCCAGGGCCCTTCAATAGGAGTTACATTCCCAGACCTACCTACTTTTCTTCCTTCCTTTCTTCCTTCTTTCACTCATTCATAATTTAGAGCTGATGTCAAAGTTTCCCAGGCTGGCCTCATACTTGCAGTCCTTCCGCCTGAGCATCCCAGAGTGCTGGGATTACAGGTGTGCACTACCACCACATTTATGCTACAACATAAACATTTTAATGGGAGCGCTTAATGGTCTTTACAAAGCACCATGGGAGGAGTTAGACATTCAACAAAGATTCCTTGTGTGAGCTGTGTGAGGCTTCATTGGCGTCACGAGTACAGATACTATTCTGTGCACACAGGATGAACACCAGGGCTGAAACTGTGCTTCTGCAAAGCCAGGCTCTGAACAGATGTAAAGTGTGATGGGGTGTGCTGGAGATGGTGGGTGCTGAGACTGGCCTGTAGACCTAGTTCACTTAATTGCTGTTTGACAACTGGCAGGTGAGCTTAGAAGGCCCACCATATTCTCTAACTCAGCTTCTGGCTGCTCATGGGGTGCTGAATTGGTGCCCAGAGCTCTTGATTTTTCTCAAAATGAAAGCTTTCTCCCCCCCACCCCATCACATCTAATTACAATTTTTAGATAGACAGCTGAGCCTTGAGGCTTTTAAATGAATGAAAAATACATGTCTATAAAGTAATTCCACACTTTTTTTAGAGGCTGGCAATGTCAGCAATCCAGAAATAGAAGGGTCATGCATCTCGATAAAAATGAAAAAGCTAGTTAGTGAAATAGCTGCAGCCATGCTAGCCACAGAACTACAAGGGGACAGTGGCAGGTTGGCAGCCTTCGGCTCCTGTGTATAAAACACAATTCTAAGGAGCTTTCAGTTCCCCCTTTAAATGCAGCAGCAACTCAGAAAGGCATGGAGGGTGGGAGTGGACAGAGAGAACATGACCCAAGGAAGAAGCAGACAGGAGAATCGGGAAGGAAGCAATAGGGTCCTTGAGTGAGCAGCCCCCAGCAGCAGAAGAGCAAGTCCAGAGATCCCATCCCAGTGCTGTCATTCACTGGCTGTGTGACCCAGACAAGGCACCATCTTTCTGAGCCATCTGCTCCTCTGTAAAGTGGCATTAGCCCTTTGCTCAGGTTTTCTCTTGATCCTGGACAGAGGGTCCTCTTGCCCTAGGAGCAAATTTATATTTGTTCTTCAAAACTTGTCTCCAGTTACCTTGAAGTGCAGAGCAAGGCAGCACAGGAGAGCATTCTGACTTACCACTCTGCCTATTTGAGAGGAAATTTGAGCTAAACCATTTGATGACTGCCTGTTTCTGACCAGGGTTTCTATGTAGTAAGGGTTGGAGAGTGTGAACAAGACAGAACATAGACCCCAGAGTTGTGTCACACCTGTGAGTCCCTTGGTCCCCTGGGAGCTCTGTGGGGACCCAGTGTGCTCACAGCACTGTTGGCCTCAAAAGTCATGGCCTTTAGGGACAGAAGTGTCCCAGGATCAAGTAAGTATAGAACTGAGTTGTTTTTTGTTTTGTTTTGTTTTGTTTTGGTTTTGGTACCGGGGATGGAACTCGGGTCCTTGCGCTTGCACAGCAGGCAGCGAAACCACTGAGCTAAATCCCCAGCCCCTAAAACTGAGTTTTTGTAAACAGTAAAAAGATGTGTTGTTTGAGGGGTTGTCATGTAGATGGTCGGTGAGCATCCTGGGTGCTAATGTGCCCCTCCAACTGAGAAGCCAGTGCCAGGGCCACCTGCTGCCCTGACCTGCCTGGCCTGCGATGCCTGCCTTTTCTCCCTAGTGAGGCAGTGACCCTCAGACATGCACGATGCTTTCCCCGTCCCCATCCCCCATGTGATGGCTTTTGATCCTGATGACAACCCTTAGGATGTGGGCAAGGTGTTACCATCACCACTTGACCCAGGGGTCCACAAGAATCCTCCAGGAGAGGGTGACCTGCACATGATCACATAGATCCCAGGGCCATATTGGGACTAGACCAGGCCCTAACCTCTCCCCAGTGCTCTTCCTTCTGCACCCCATGCCCCATCGAGCCTACCCCCTCCAAACATCTGGCAGCCACACCCAGCCCTTCCCCATTCAGCAACCCCTTGCTAAGGAGGAGGAGCAGATTTGGGATGACATTACCATGTGCTTGGAGGGAAAATTCAGCACCTTATAAGCATTGAACTGTGGAACGAGTCCGATTTTGCAGAGGAGAAATTGTGTACAGAAATGCGAGATAACTGCTCAAAGTCCACAAGGTCCACCATGTAAATTGTAACTCAAAGACACAAGACACTGGCAGGGGTGGGGGACTTTTTTGAAGATTCAACTTAGCAATGTCTAACAGGCATTCATGGAGCAGGGCTACCAGCCAAGCTAAGAAGTGAGAACAGAGGCATTGCCAGGCCCTGGCAGGGGCTCCAGGGGAGACATGCACAAGAGAAACGCTGCACTGCCCTCAGGGAGCTGCCAGCTATGTGGCTGAGACCAGAAGGGAAAGAAGCAAAGAGTATAAGGGGATGGGACAGCGGTAAGAGGACATCTGTGGTTGGACGAGGGGTAGGGGCTGCCACGGGTCCAGGCACAGGGTGAGCAGAAGAGGGGCCGCAACAGAGGAGCTTTGACTGAAGCAGAGCTCAGGAAGAAGGTGGGAAGGGAAACCATGGAGCCTGCAAAGGATAACCAGGGTGAAAGATAAGGCACGATGGGAGTGAGGACAGGGCACAGCCTTGAGGCCCTCAGTGACTTCCATAAGAGCCATTTCTGGGTTGGAGGAGCAAGGAGAAAGCAACTGGAATGGACAGTGAGGAAGGAGACAGTGAGTGTAGACAACTCTTGCGAGAAACTTACCTGTAAAGAGGTGGAGAGAGAAGACAGATGGACATTGGAGGGGAATGTGAGCTAGAGGGAGGATGGCCTGTTGGTGCTAATCCAAAGAAACCAGTACAGGAGTACAGTCAGGTGCAAGGAGGAGGTGGGACAACAAAAGGAGAAAGGTCCCAGAGAACATGGAGGGTAACAGAAAGAGAGGGCCCCTGAGTGTGGTGTGGACTGGAGGGAGAGACAAGGGTGGGAGCAGCCTGGAGCTGACTGCGCATGGGTAGGAGGCTGTGGGCCAGGGATAGGCTAGGGCTGAAAGGGCTCCAGAGAGTGGCTGAGAGCTTCTTGGGCCTTTTGGCAGGGATGCCTGAGACGTAAGGGAGGGGTTGGCTGGCTGCCTGTGGTTCACTGGAGCTGAGGGAGCCACCTACAGTATGATCACCTCCTCCCCAGGCTCTCTCCGCCACCTGTGTACCTTCAGCCCACGCTCCACACAGTAGACCCAGTGACCTGGCCTGCCAAAGCTCAGCTCCTCCAGGAACCATGAAGCAGAAGGAAGAGTCAGCCTT